CTCAACGCATACCCATCAGCCGTCACCCAAGTCGTTGTATCATGTCTCCTGTTTATTTGAAAAGTGAAGCTTTCTTTGCTTCATTTGTCCCATTCGTCTTGCTACGTCTATCCACACACTGCCGGTCCAGCGTAGCCGTCTTTTGATTTTCAGCTTGTGCGCACCTGAGCGCCGTGTTCGCGTGCTCATCAATCAGCTCATTGTCCACCACGCAGAATGAAATGGAAAAATGTCGACAGGGAAAAGGTTTGACCATCTACTGTTTGTGTCAAGAGAGAAGAGAAGAAAATCTATTTGTACATTTCGAAGCAAGCACACGGAGTCGCCCAAGCCAGATAGATGGTCAGGAAGTTCTGAGCGCAGACGAGGGGGGATTAGTCGGAGGAGGAGCCGAAAGTTTGGAAGCGGGTGGCATCATCGATGTACGTCTTTGCGTGAGCAGGGCCTTCGGGACTGTAGCAGTGGGTTGGGGGGGAAAAAGAGATTGAGCAGGATGAAAAGTCAGATCTTTTGAAAGCTTATCGTTGAGCCGCGCGTGACAGACATCACCAGACCAGGAAACATCAACTCACGAGCCAAAGACGAGCTCTGCATGAATTCTCCACGTTGCTGGAAGTTTGAGCAGCTCGGCGGCTGCCAAGGGAGAGGTGGAAGGGATGACGTGCTGCAGATTTGCACCGTATCCTGCTGCTGCCAAAGCGTTCCAGACGTTGCCTTGCGCAATGCCGCTAGATTGTAGAGACCACTAAAAGCGCGGGAGGAGCAAGTGAGCAAGGAGGGGCGCGGAAAGCGAGCGGAAAAGAAACGAGAAACGGGGGGGACTGATCGAGCAAACTCAACGCACGGGACTGAACTGGGAAGCCATACCTGGATTGCGTTTGGCCGAGGCTTCTAGACTCGCATCGTCTTCGAAGAAGAGGACCGTGCCGGTTGCGCCCTGCGTACAGCCAAAGTGCAAATGCGCATTTGGATTAGAAAGATCAGTTCATCGCGGATCCACAATCATCATCTTGATCGTCGTTGCCTGCAGAGCCCTGACTGACACTCACGGCGAACGCTTCGAGACGCTTTTGTTGTTTTGCAAGAGCTGCAAGCATTTTTCCGATGCGCGTGCGGCAAGGTCCGTCAGCTTGCCTCATCAAAGTT